ACCCACATGATGGCACAGAAATGAAGGCTCTAGGACTTCTGATTAATGACTTATATCTCCTGGTATTGCAGTAAGTCAAACCATAATTGAAAATTCATGGAAGAGGGAGGATTATGGAGGCTGGAAAGTTGCAGTGTTTTTGGTGTACAGGAGCATACAGACATAACAGTCATCATAGCAGTTTATATTGGTATCTTTTGATATTGGAACAATTGGGGTGGTGCAGGCGCCATGGGCAACTGGTGCTGCCTTAGTCAGGGGGCACATGCCCCCCCTCCTCCACGACCAGTCTCGTTACCCGGGGCGGGGGTGTCCTCCCATGGCAGATCTCACTACCTGGTGGGATTTCCCCGCAGCCAATCACTTCAGCTAATCAGCTAGTGCTTGCAGGGGGGGCACTGGTGCTCCCACCTGCCCCCCCCCAAACCATCGCCTAAACAGCGAGCGCAGCTGATCAGGGCTTGCACTGGCACTCTCAGGGGATGCATGTGCACCCTCTATGTGTTGCCACTGGCGGGCACTAAGGTGCACAGTCAATAGAGAAGTTGCACATTTGTGACCATAGCAGAAGTGCTCACAGCACAGCTCTGTTAAGTTCTAGTGAATCTGTGAAATCTGCTAAATATCTTGTCTCACAAGGACACAGGAAAAGAAAGGTACAATTGTTATACCTGTCCATACCCTTATAAATTATCTAGAAGAGGATTAAAGCAAGACCCTATTCAGCTGAGAACCTAGCCACTCTAGGGTCATGGCTTCACTAGGAGTGTTGTATTAATATAGGAACACCCATATAATATAGCAGCAAAGGGTTCCTAGTGTTTATACAGCTATGCCAGCAAAGTTGCAGGTATCCTGTTACAGAAAAATTCATCCTCTCTTCCACATAGGCTAACCAGACCATGTTAAAAGCATAATTTTCTTAATATAAATGCACCCACAATATGGACTTCTGCCTGCACCACTATTATTGGTCTAAGATCATGCCTTTTCACAACTTCCGACTAACAGCTATTTTCAGCAGAAGTCTGTAATATAAACAAAACCTCAGAGAATTAGTGAGTGCACTGTAAATGACTGATTATTGCTAGTTTTAATGCATAGGAAAGAGCCATGTCCTGAAGACAATCCGAAAAAAATGTGTGTATTCTTTTACACTAAGGACATCCCAAAGAAAGATTCTGGATATAACATCAGAAACATGTGGAGAAAGCAGGGACGTCCAGATGAGCGCACACATGCGGCTTGCGGCACCTCAAAACTTTGAGGCAGTGTAACCTGCACAAGATGCATCTGCAACTATGCAGTGTGGCACTACAGTTTGATACTGGGAACTCCCAGTGTCAAAAAAAACCACTGCAAAACAGTGTGGTGCATGCTCTAGGGGCATGTACTGGAGTGAATGGAGGCTTTGTGCTGTGGCAAATGCATGTCCCTGCACGTGAGGACATGCCCAGCAGGTAAATAATGCTGAGACATTAGAGCCATCTATGGGGATACTTGTCTTTAATGCATATCTCAAGACCCACACTTTTTATCAGTAGATGCCTTTGGCAAACTGCAAAGAAAGCTTAAGCAAAAAAACTTCTGCAGAATTGCAGTTATGCTATATAAAAATAACTTGAATAAAGAGAACAGAGCCTTTGATTCTATTATCTTGTTTAAGTAATCTCCGGAATTAAAGTAGGAGGAAAGGTAGGCTTGAAGTGTGTTTTTGATTTTATAAATTCTAAAATTCCAAATGTAAAATAAATAGATGGTAGAAATCCCCAAGAAATAATAATTTAAGGAAAAACATATTTAAATTCTCAAATGTTGAAAATAATACTGACATTCCTGAAGCAACTTGCATATGAATCACGGTGGTGGTGTCAATGAAACTGGCTCAATGCTTCAGCTCTTTTTCTCATGATTTAATATTTATGAGTAACAATTGAACAATGTATCTTTTTGCACTTTGGAAATAAATTTATGAATATAGGCTTTGAAAGTGATTATGATTAGATTACCTCATACCCATATGCAAATTTATATTAAAAATAAATACTTGTGCCATAGATTGACAAACAAATCTATATTTCATGAGACAGCAACAAATAAGTTCTGACTCCTTTAGTATTTTTTTTTCTCTAGATAGCTGCAGGCTCATTTTTGCTATACATCTTCACAGGATTTTTTGCATTACTACCCTCTAATGGTCATAATGTCTAGGCTTAACTCTAATGCTGGTAATTTTGTCTCTTGCTCCTACAGCTTTCAGGTAAAAAGCACACAATAGCTTTTGTTCACTTTGGCAGAAAAAATAAAATTATAGTAAAATAATACTAAAATTACTGTCAGACTTTCATCACACAAATTTTCTTTGTGCTTAGTGAAGTTTTTTTTTCCTCTTTTTTTTCAGAATTTCTAATAATAAAGAGGGTTATGATTAATTTGCGGATAGAGTAACCTTTTTCCAAATGCACCCTACTCAATAAATGAACAAGCTGCTTACAGTAATTAAAGTAATGTCATCCTGTGCTCAAATTGCCTGTGCTAATAAGGCTAATTGGCAACAGCAAGCATTAACTGTGATTAGTCATATGCATCTAATGTCATCACCAGTGCCTATAATTTTCTACATAGAGAGAATTTCACATCTGTTTTAAATCATTTGTCTGTTGTCTATATTGGTGTGCTTTCCTATATTAATCTAGCAAAGGTTCTTTTAATCATCTACTATATATGAAAGCTGGTTTTCTTTTTCAAACATCTGAAGCGGAGAGCACGATACTCGAAAAGAATCCATATCATCTACTTTATTCTGACATAAGTGTTTGTATTTAAATGTATTTAATGAATCTGAGTTGCCACTATTTTGAATTAATTAAAGTCACTATATCCAATTTGCCTGTTGTACAGGATGTAGATTGCTAATGGATTTATTTAACAGGTGGCATTTTATGGTAAAAGAAACAGGTCAAAATGTTCAGCTTCATGGGAATTGTCCTTCTGATATTTGTTTTTGAAATCCAGGACAAACTAGTCTTCAGGGAAACAAGTATTCTTAGTTTTTGCATGATATCCTTAGCAATCTGCTTTCTTTGTAAATAATACATTTTATTTTTAGCATAAATTAAAATAGGAGAGATGAAAAATAGGTGACTGAAGTAACTCAACTTTTTAATATGACGTATATGTAGCTCATAAAAGTAGTGAGTGTTTTTCATTCAGCTATAACAAAACTCACAAGAGGGAATATAAACTAAGACCATCGGTCCTTGTTCTGTTACCTGCCACCACTGAAAACAGTTTAGATCAATCCTCTTTGGAGCTCCCCTTCAGGTAGTTGAAGGTTGCTATTAAACCTCCCTCTCAGTTTTCTCTTCTCCAGACTAAATAAGCCCATTTCCCTCAGCCTCTCCTCAGAAGTCTTCTAGCTATTTTTCCTGCCCTCCTCTGGACACTTTCCAATTTGTCTATATCCTTTCTTAGTGGGGGGCCCAAAACTGGACACAGTACTCCAGACATAGCCTCACCAGTGCTGAATAGAGGGGAATAATCACTTCCCTCAAACTGCTGGCAACACTCCTCCTGATGCAGTCCAGTATGTTGTTAGCCTTCTTTGCAACAAGGGCACATTGTCAGCTCATATTCAGCCTGTTGTCCACTGTAACCCCCAGGTCCTTTTTTGCAGAGCTGCTGCTTATCTAGTCAATCCCCAGCTGGTCCTGGTGCATGGGAGTATCTTAAATGCAGGGCTTTGCACTTCTCCTTATTGAACCTTGAGATTTCTTTTAGTCCAGTCCTCCAATTTGCTGGCATCTCTCTGAATCATAGCCCTATCCTCCAGCATATCCACTATTCCCTCCAGTTTGGTGTCTTCTGCAAGCTTGCTGAGGTGCACTCCATCCCATCTTTCAGGGCATTGATGAAGACATTGAACAAAACCAGCCCTAGGACCAACCCCAGGTACACTCCACTGGATACCAGCTGCCAACTAGACATTGAGCCATTGACTTACTACCCTCTGAACCCAACGATCAACCAGCTTTCTCTCCACTTTACAGTCCATTCATCCAACTTGTACTTCCTTAGCTTGAGTGTTATGAATGCGAAGTGTGGTTTTGAACAACAGTAATTAAAATATTTCCCAACAAATGTACATTTTAAATTGCTGTTTAAAAAAACAAGGGTTGTTTCTGATGGTGCAGCTAGAGTATTTTACCATTACTACTACTGCTTTTCTTGAACCCAAACCCTGACTCTTCTTCAGCTGGCCTCTGTGATTCTCTGCTTTCCCAGAATGCACCAGTGTTGCATTTTTGGATTGGTGGAAACGCCTAGAAAGTCACGCATCTCGGGATAGTCTTATGTCTGTTCTTTTGTGGCTTCAAACAAAGGAACAAGGGGAGAGCAAGAGGTGGACTATGCCAGCCATTTCAGTTTCTTCCATTTATAGTTGTGAGCAGTTCTGCTTTTGCATTAGATAGGACTTGGGCTTTTGTGAATTATACTGTATTTACTTGAATCCAAGATGAGCATGGCCCCCCCCCCCAAAAAAGGTCTCATCTTGGATTTGAATACTGGCTGGGGCAGGTGGCTGCTGCAGCCCTGGTTCTGGGCTGAGGGCAAGGCCAAAGCTATGCTGCTGCCTGCCCTAGGCCAGGGTAGCTTGTGCCTCAGGGAAGGGGACTAGTGATTTTTTTCTAAATGCTATTTCTAGGCTGTAGTATTAGAAATATTGACCTGCATTGTGATGCCAGCCCTAGAGAAAAATAAAAACCTTCCAACTTTCACTTTCCACTTGCTTTGGACTTTCCTGATGATATGGACAAATGTAGGTGTCCACCCTACATCTGGCATCCTTCCGACTTCTGCTGGGATGACATTGTTGGTGTGTAATAATAGATGTTTAATTCTTAGACTATTTGTCTTACTGTTGCTTCATTATATTTTTTCAGTGTGAGCATTGCGTTTTGTGTTTTTATTTTTCATGTTTTTCTTGTACTGTTTAATAGCTTTATGGTTCCAGTCCTCGGTATGGAATTGATGAAGGTGTCTGTGAGCCTAGATATCCTACAAGAATGCCATTTACAGACTACTTGGTCAGTGGAGCAATAATAGGAGAACTGAACTGCCTAACTAAGCATGAAATGGAATACACTGTTACTTGTGAAACTGCTGTTCAGGTTAGAGAACATTAATTTTACTTGGATTATAATGACTTTCTGTTCAGGATTTTTTACATAATGATTTATTATAAAGAGATTTAGACCAAAATATTTCAGAGCTTCCCTTGACTTAGAAAATTTGGCTGTAGCTATCTTCTAGAATGAAAGGCCTAGTTTTTACCAAGCTGCTTTTCTCTAATGAGACTCTACTTATTTGCCTGATTTTCAAACGTGCTTAGCTAATGATATAGGAAGGGGGTCTGTTGTAGATTTCCTGAGGAGATTTTTCATAGGGGCATCATAGGGTTTATAATACAGGTGTTCTGATAGTGTCTTGCCAAACATATTCACATTTTGGAATGTTGTTTTCCATCTTATTCCAGAATAACCTGGGGAATTAAAATTTATGAACTGTTAAGATATTGAAATTGCACAGTTAACCACCCAACATTTTGTCTTTGTAAAATGTACTCTGTATCACTCTGTATTGCTATAACTTTAAAGATTATATTCATAATTTCTCAAATTATACATCCTTTTACAGTTTATGGTCCATAGATGTACATCTTAGTACTTTGAAGCAGTCTGCATCTGAGAACCAGAGTAACTAATTCATATGATAATTAATCAATTATTTTAAATAATTCAGATTAAATTACCTATACAGAACAGTAGTGAAAATTATTGGCATACACAGGCCAATGTCAAAGGGAATTTCTGAAAGGGCTCAATATGACATCATGTCTATAAACTGTTGTCTGCGTAGCGTATCATTATTTCCATTGGATACCTCAAAGGTTTTATCTGCCATCTTCTGGAATGTATACACCTTCCTGTTTGAGGTAAACTGTAGTAGTTACCAGAGTACACAAATATCCCCTAAAACAGGGGTGGCCAGTCTGTGGCACATATACCACAAGTGGCACAGACAGCTGCTGTGTATAGCACATGACTCTCAAGTTAAGAAGTGGTGGATTGGAGGCAGGAGTCGGAGAACAAGGATTGAGCGATACTCAGGTAGGCACATCTGCCAAAAGGTTGGTCACCACTGCCCTGTGACTACTGCACAGTAGCGCTGTGTGGCAGAAAGTGGGACACAACACTACTGCACTGTAGTCTCAGGCTACTGCGCAGTCAGCATCATAAAAAAGCTGTTTGGCCGCACAACTGCGCAGTCAGCAATGTAGATGTGGCCTTAAAGTGGTATCTGTTGTAGGCAAAATAAAACCATTTCTTGTATTTAGTTGTTATTGAAATATTCCAAGTAAGTATGCCTCCCTGAAATAAAATGAGGATATAAAACCAATTTTTGTCAAAGCTGAATTGTTTTATAATACCCTAATTCTTATCCATCTAAAATGAATGGAATAAGTTAACACTGTAGAGTTACAAAGACTGTATTACTTTCCAACCTGCAGAAGTGTAAATCCAGATAAAACATCTGTGTTGGTTAGTATTATTCAGGTGAAAGAACTGCTGATCAAATCGAGAGGCTAGAAGAGGAGCCCTTCTTTCCTATATGTTGACCATTTTGCAGTACATCTTTGTCTGCTGTAATGGCTATAGCCTTGGCAACTGACAAGAGTCATTATCAACTGTGGGAAGAAACACCAGATCTCATGTGAGACATGTTGTTGAATGTCTTGGCTAATATTAGTTGGTCCGCTGTATAAACATAGCATAAAAGGTGGTTTCTAGACAGGTTTCTCTGATAGCTGTCCTTTAACTGTAATGGAAGCATTCAGTTAAATGTTAGAAGCTATTTTGAAAGTCTGTGATCCAAAATGCTTATAACTTTAGCTCTTCCTAATATCAATAGTTATTTGGTTGTCACTTTTTTGTTGAAAATATTCATTATTGTCAATCAGTATAAATCAGAAACTGCTTTAAGAGTTCTTGTCTAAGATCATTGCTTTCATTCAGTCATTAGAGAGGAACTGTAAGACATCCATCACTGTAGTATCCGAGTGCACTTTACATCATAATCCTCTACATAATCATCTTCCTTCAAATGGATTTCATTAACTAATTATATATAAACATTCATTAATTTTATAACACCACTTGTAAGCTAAATGTTTTACAGACAGGTACAATCAAACAGAAGAAGCTTATCCCCAAAGAACAAACAATTTGAATAATTAGTAGTTATTTTCAAATAAATGCTAGTTTATAGAACTGAATTTATGACCTTTGTGTGATTTTTTTTTAAGAGGGAAGCCAGGCAAGGGAAACTGTGCCACTTGTGGCAATGAATTTACTCATTCTATTATTTTATTTCAGACCTGTTTTATATCAATGGATGACTTATTTGAAGCTTTTGATAAATTTCTGGAATGCCCTTCACTGGAATATAAAATATGGTTAAAACTTGCTCTTGATATCACTATCAAAACTTTCAAGGAAAACCTTGCTCATCAGGTAAACAAATAACTATTGCTATAATGACAAACACATATTCAGTTTAAATCTATTCTGATTGCAGCATCCTTCATGACTAAGTGATCCTCTGCCTGTAAGTCTCCCTCGTCTGTACAGAAGGGGCATTCAGGCATCTTAGCAGCAGTGTCATTCCATTTGGCCAGATCTGTGGCTAAAACAGATTCTGTGATGGGCAACAGATAAGTACAAAGGGGGCGTGTCTACATGAGATGCTACTGTGCAGTGGTTACTGCATTTATTTAGTACTTGTATAAACAAGTACTAAATAAATGCATGGAAAAGAGTTACTGCTCAGTAGAGCCAGTGAATGGCTTTTAAGTGATGCTACTGCACAATAGCTTAATACAATACAGTAGCATCTTGGCACAGTTTTTGCCATGTGATGCTACTGCAGAGTAGTATCAGGCTACGGCGCAGTCAGCATCTCCTGTAGATGCGTCTAGGGAGTGGGTAAGCTAAGCGTGTTGCGTTTGGAAATATGTAGCACTAGCTTATAATATTCTGTTTTGTCACTGGTTTCTCCATTTAATGTATCACGGGAGTAAATACTAACTGCAAGGGCTTCAGTGGTGCTGCTTCCTTGGAGCTGGACTGTTAATACTGAGGGAGCAAAGCTCTTGTAGTGCTATCAAATCTTTATGCTGAACCTGAAGGACTCAGAAGGATAAGCTGAGCTTGTGGCCAGGAATATGTTGCACTGGAGCTGGAGAAGAAGTCAGGAGAAAGATCTCTGCCACAGGTTTGCTGGTAACCAGTCTTGTCTATAGCATAAATAAACTAAACTAGTACAGTACAACAGCAGGAGTGTCCCTTGGAGCTAGGTCTTCCAGCCCATGGGGTTCCTGAAGGGGTTGTAAATTTGGCAGCAGGGCAAGCAACAGCTGCATTTAATCCCCATAGCTCCCTGAAGCAATACAGGAGCTCAGGCACCAGTGGCAATGCATAGGGGGTTCACATGCACCCCGAGAGTGCTGATGCACCACCTGTCAGGCCGCGCTCCCTGTGAGCACCATCCAGGGAGCGGGGCTGCCAACAAAAGCAGCTGTGCTGCTTCCAGAAGTGACTGAGTGTGGCTGTGGGGGACCCCCTCCCCCAGTCAGCAAGATCAGCTGCCAGGGGACCCCTCTGTCTGGCACATGCCCCCCCCCCGACTCAAGAGGCACCAGTCACCCATGTCAGGTACCCATGGCCTGATAATGCTACTGTTGTATACCCTACTGCTGGAGACAGGTCCAGATGTAGTCCACAAAGACCTCTGTGGTCTGGATCCAGTCTGGGTGCCAGGTGAGTATGACAGCCCTCTGTACAATAGCATCTCCTCCTCTTTCTGGCCAAAATGGTCTTTGCATTATTATGTTAGTAGAACTTGTTCTTAAGATTTGTCTAAATCAGTGGTTCTCAAACTGTTTTAAACTGAAGGCAGCCCCTCGGAAAATGCCAGCTGTTAGAAGAATTGCTCTTTTTTTTGTTCTTAATAAACAAGTGAAAACTATTGCAAAAAACTCAGAAAAAAACCACAAGAGGTCAGAATGCTATTCAATTCCTACTTGAAATCTCTGGGTTTCTGTCTGGGTTCTTGTGACTTATGTTTGCATACCTAATGGTACCAATATTCCGTGACACCACAGATCACCCCTGAAAGGATCTCAAGGCATCAGGGTTGAGAATCACTGGTCTAAATTGTAAGTAATTATAGGCTGGGACTTTCAGAAAGATGTGGGCATTCTTGCAACTGTTGATAGCTCTTCCTTTGGCTGTAGTAAAAAGAAAAGTCTCCATCTGTGCATACTGGTTCTACTGACAATTCTTTCTATAGCTAAGATGCTTTGTTCACAGCTACTCAGAATGAATCCTTTATAACTACATAGCTAAGACTATTCAAATGTACATTTTTCCTCCTATGCAGTATACTTTGTTTTGGACATGGCAGTTCTAGCCACAGAAGAGTAAAGTACAAGACCTTGTTTGTCATACAGGTAAAATGTACTTTATTATGAAAAAAAATACAATTTACATACCTCCTTTTTGTAGGACTGGTCTTACAAGATGTGTACAAAGTTTCCTAATATTTATGTGATGGATGTACCAACTCACAGCAAATGTGATATTTACGATGAAAACATGGAAGATGTTATTCTTGTATATGGAAGTGTCCAAGACTGTCAAGTGCTACAACCTTATTTTGCACCCTGCATTTTACCAAAAACTTGCCACCAGGTAAAAACAATTTTTACAACAAGAGATCCAGACTATGGAACCCTCAGTAAAAATAAATCAGCGTGCCAGAGGCAACAGAAGTGCTGTAAGATATTTTCAATTCTTCGAAACAAGTGGCAATATTCCTCCTTTGAAGTGAAGGGGACAGTGTAAGACAGCTGTTTAAACAGACACTTATTAGAATGCCTCGTTTATAATGGGTTTTTATATGAACAATTTACAAACTAGAAATTACTATGCCAAATTATTCTACAAAATTCAGAGGAAATTAACATCCCTGTTAAGTGAAAATTCATAGTGCACTTGTAAGCATGGTGTTGTTACAGCTGCACTTATGCCACAGCAATGAACAATATGTGAATTTTCAATACACACTACATTGTGCAACAATTAAGATAGCTCAGGTATAACTAACCCAAAAATTTAAAAAGGAAACCCATAAATCCACAACTCACATAGCAGAGATAAAAGCAGAGGTAATACCTGTGGCCCCCTTTAGTACGTGATGCCTTCATCCACTACTTATGGTCAACTCAAATATGCTTAACTCTGCCTCTATTATGAAGTTATCCTACAATTTTCAATCCTTTGTCACTTATGTCTGCAACTATGGCCTTATTTTAAAAACCATTTACTCTTACAAATAAGGATTTCCATGATCTCAAAGATATCTCTCTCTAGCTATAAATATATACCAAATAAAGAGATCTTTCATTTGTTATCTATATCTCATTTGCTATTTTTCAATACAGTAAGCATTCTAAATGGACAGGAAGTTGCCATACTAAAGCCAAGGTAGTCTTTTAATCTTGGCTTTAAATTCATTTATTTAATAGAAGTCTGTCTTTTTTGTATGGACAATGGCAGAATGTCTGTAGAACTAAGAATAAAATATTCCTGTGCATTTGTTTTTTGGATTTCAAATATTTTTACATGAGTGAAGACTTTTAATGTATTGCCCTGGCAAAGTTGAGGTAATTCTTAGTGCTTGCTTACAAGTGCAATGGATAAAGCATATGAAGATCATGCTCATTTTAAATTGTTGATTGGTAGTAGTACAATTTAACATAAATGTGGATTTTTTTTTTTTTTTTTTTT